AAACCGCAAGGTTTGTGTTAGAGTTTCAAACAAACTCCCTGCCTATTGCTATGGCAGTATGGACCACCCCCATGGAAGCCTGTCTGCGCCCGTGTTTACCATAAACAGTCACCTCATTTTCTGCTGAATCTAAAGGAAGACGAGGATGGTTTAGGGTTTCCTGGTGTCATCGAGACATCCAAAAACTCCAAGGAAAATAAATGAAACTGAGTCAAAATGTAACCGGTGATTCATTAAAGCTGTAAATTTGAAATCAGTGAACAAAGGACCTCTTGACTGGTCTTTCTCAGTTTTGTGCAACCAGGTAATTTTCATAGCTAAGTAATGAGTGCCTTTTAAACCTTGGTCACCGCATAAATGCAATAAAGTAACTGCGGAATTTTTAGGGGAAGCAGAGTCATGTCAGGAACGGAGCTGAGACAGACTGGCACTGTCAGGTTTTAATAAATAAATGTTAGTATTATTATTGCAGATTGTCAGGAGATTATTCTCAGCATGAATCATGAGTAGATCACATCAGCGAATGTCGTTAGTTAAGTCTATGCTGCTTTGTCTTGTGGAGTTTGCCCACAAACTGAAAACTGTCAGAGCCGTCGTTTCATGTTTCTCCTCCTGTTGATCACGTATTCAGATGTTTATCTGTTTGGGTCAAGGTGCTCAAAGCCATGGGAGAGTGAATGCCCTGAGGGCCCAGCGCATAGCATCACTATCTCTACCTTTCCTGTTTACATTGCTGACTTGATGTCCAGCTATGCTGACCTCAGATCAGCAGGAAGAGCAGTCACTGTTGTCAGTGCAGGGAAGTGACATCACTGAGGGCTGAATCCAGTTGTTTGTTTTCCTTCTGTCACTTCTGGCGTTTTCCTCTGAACATACATTTGGTGTGATTCAGATCATTTCCACACCAGATCATGTTTGTGAGTCTAAAAAGAAAGTGTGGCACTCAGTATAGCTCAGTGAACAATTGGCTGCCTTTTATCTTTTTATCTTTTTTTTTTTTTTTGGGTGACTGTAATACCGTCACAAAGAAGTTTGACTTGTTCCATATTCAGCACATGTCAACAACCCAAATATTCCACAAAAAGTCATGTTTGGCAACCAACATCAAGAAATGGTATGGCTTCCCCACAGCCAGCAGGTTCCAGTATGACTGGCATTTCATGAGGTGACAGAAGACACTGAAACCAAACCCACAGAAGAATAATAAGATAATTTTCCATTGAAGTTTTCAAGAAACTTGAAACATTCTTTTTGCCGAGTGCTTTAAAAAACTGTGCACAATAATAATACATGGTTATTATTTTAAGGAAAAATGTAGTCACGCTAACAGTGACTACATTTTTCCATTAACAGTGTTATTACCTGATAAATAAAAATCATTCAAGCCATTAGATTTGAGAGCATTCTCACTTTTCTTTGACAAAATGCTTTCATTATTCCTTTTTTTGTACTTTTTATATTTTACATTTATATTTATTATTGAAACTTGCACCAAGGGAGTGGCACTCCAATTTCGTTGTACTCTGTACAATGACAATAAAGGCTATTCTATTTTGTCATTGTTGGCAGTTTTTTTCTCCCTTTACTTAAGTGCTTGATTATTGCTGAACTTTCTGTATATAATGTTGTAGAACACTTCCCCCTCTTAGTGAATGAATCACTAATCATTCAAAAACGCACAGAACATTTTTTGTTCTATTAATGTTTGATTTTGAACACTATTGCATGATTTCAAAACAACAATTTCTGGAATATGTCATCATTGGCAGGGAAAGGCCTGACATTGCACACTTGTGCTTTGCAGTTTAATGAAACCAGTCTTGAACTCCTGCGCAGAGTTTTGTACAATCTTGGGACACTGTTTAAATGTGAATAAAAACAGAATGCAATGGTTTGCAAATCTATTAAACTCAGATTTTATTCATAGTAAGTCACAAAATGTTGAATTTGTCATTTTATATTTGATGGCAACAACAAATCTTCACCATCAAAAAGAGGAAATTGCACAGCATCAGTTTTCTTTCTTCTCTTTTTTTTTTCATGTGGAGATTTGTGGAGACGTCTGGTAAAAATTTAATCTCTTACAAAATACTTGGTGCTTTTTGTGTTAATGTTACTTTTTGATACCTTTACGTTTTTCTATCAGTTAAACCAGCCAGCTGCTTTAGGGGAGATAGATTTGGCTTTCTTGAGACAGAGCTGCATTAGCGTGTTAGCGCTATTTATGCTGAAAGTTGGTGGCTTTGCTTGACTCATATTTACTGGAAATCTATGAGAGTGGAACCAATCCTGTTGAGGGTTGGGTAGCACTGTGTACTGTGTACAATACATCAGATTATTGAAAATAAAGGTTCTACAGTCTTCCAAAATCACAATGGAGAAAACTTAAAAAATACATTGTCAACATTTACTTAATTAAATTTTTGTTAAATATTTTTTTTAAAAGGCAACAATTGTGTCCGTATACATCTGCGAACTAAGGAGACCAGCTCCTGGACTTTGGAGATTTTTTCCTGTTCTTGTCTGATATAGGATTCTAGCTTCTTTGTTGTATTTTCTATGTATTTTAACCAGTTTTCAGCTGGTAGTTCAGCCAGACCCCATGCTGTTCTAATATGTGGTGGTATGTGGTTTAGCAATGTCTTGCTGAAATGTGCAAGGTCTTACTTTAAATACCTCGTCTGGATATGCGCAGAAGATTTGTTTTTGTTTGCAGCGTGGTCAACCGCTGCCTCTCTAACATGCTCTTTTTACCCAGTCATGTTACTGACCTGTTGCTAACAGCAACAGTTACTCTTTTGATGCACCACCCTGAACTGCTTGAAATTTGTTGCTGCCATCAAATTTATTTTGCTCTATTGTGAATGGATTTAGGAGGTTTGCAAATCATTGCAGTGTTTTTATTCACACTTTACATTTTTGGAATTGGAGATTGTGCCTTAAAAATGGGAGAAAATAATGCGCAGTGTCTGTTTCTTCAGGACTTTTCTAGTTTTAACAGACTTTCTCCTGAATGTGCACCTTAAATCGCGTAATGTGCAAATATGTATCTTAGGACAATTTCTAAATAGTTTAATGTGTATAGACAAAAACATTTAAATTGAAACTTAAATCTGTCTCCAAACTGGTTTTAACATCACTGAAACAAACGTCACTGATGTAATCCAATAACATTCGGACCAGAAGAGTCTGTTATACATGCCCGTTTTAATAATCTGATAGAAAACATTTGCTGAGCACAACATACACCGTTTTACAGTATACTGTGAAGAAAACACTGAAAAAATACATTTGAAACAATGGTATAAATTTCAGCAAATATCCTTATAGCTGTACAATGACCTGTCACCGTACACATTATGCTGCAGTAAATATCCAGCCTTCGCCAGGAACAAAAGGACTAAAAAAGCTTCTGCTGCGCCTCGTATGAAGCGCTGCTGGCTCCCACTGCACAAACACTTCTGGCTGGAATTTCAAACGAAACATACTTTTCAAATCGTCAAAACTGACCTGCATAACTTTATGCTATGGCCTCATAGCAAAATACCTTGCTATACACGGATGAACCAACAAACGAGTTCAGTCAAACTGTCATTTGACACGTGGTAGTGCATATAAATAACAAATATACAGCGAATATTATCAATTCAGTATTAACATATACAAGAAAATGTAATAAATACACTGTTACAAACAGCTTAAGGGTCAGCACAACACAGTTGGGTGCAACACGACTGTGCAACTCTGTGACCACTTAAATACACTCTCGCATCCTCACACACACACACACACACACACACACACACACACACACACACACACACACACACACACACACACACACACACACACACACACACACACACACACACACACACGCGCACACACACACACACACACACACGCACGCACACACACACACGCACGCACGCACACACGCACGCACACACACACACACACAAACACACACACGCACACACACACACACACGCACACACACACACACACACACACGCACACACACACAGACAGACACACACATGCAGACACGCACAGACACACACACACACACACACACACACACACACGCACACACACACACACACACAGGAGAAGAATGACATATCGTGAAACATGAAACCAATCTCCCCGTATTATGACCATACAACGTGGTACCTCTAAGGAAGTGTTTGGACAGATCAGCAACCAGCTGCATAACTGTCGACGTATTCAAAGTGCTGCAATGAAAAACTACAAGATTCAATTATTCCATTACTGACAGGTGTTTCTGAAACTGCGCGTTCAGCCTTGAAGTCATTCAAAGTTCAAAATGAGTCAGCCTATTCATGAGAATACTGCTAACCACAACAGGTGTGTTGTGTGAGGCAATGAAAAGGGGAATTACAGGGCGGAGACGGTTTTTCCACACTGGATGGGGCTTAAACGCAACTGGGTTATGAAATATTTTCTTTTCCACTTTAATCTTGGAAGATTGTAGTGAGAATTTAGTCTGTAACTGGCTTTAAGTGAGAGGGAATCAATCCCGCCGCCGCTCGGAAGTTTGACTTGTCACACCATTTACTCTTTGGAAATGCGATCATTCTTTTGAGGGGTGGCAGTGCTTTCCTTACAGGATCTTTGGAGTTTTGGTTTTTGTTCTACAAAAAAGAAAAAAGAAAGGTTTTTCCTCTTTTACGAAATCTAGCCTATGAGTCATTTAATTGCTTACGCAGTTACTTATTTGGATAAATCAAATTAAATTATTTGGTTTGACATGCTTGCTATGGTCTCTCCTTTAAGTTACAGATGCTGTCTTTGTCTTGGTTTAACTGTGTGTGCCACAAAGTGCAAATCGTGCTGGGAAGTCAGCTGATTTTTTTATAATATACATCCATTAGTGAAGAACAAGCTTATACTATTGCCAGAACATCAGGAAGACTGTGTGAGACAGCTATGTCCGTTTGTAGAAAATCTGACACACAGCTACATGAATGTGTTCAATAAATTATTTAAAAAAAAAAAAAAAACCTTACAAAAACACACACTTGTAAAAAAAGGCACACTACTCTTTTTAGACAAGTGTTAAAAAAACACTACTGGGTTAGAAATAACTCGCTGACCAGTAGCTGTGGTTGGACAATATAGGGTCGTATCCAATCTCGACACGATACAAAGAATCTAAATGAACATTTAAAAAAAATGTCCTGAAGTGCAAGTTTGAAATTCAGACTTGTCCCAGTACACGGATTCATACGTCCACTTCACATTCTCTGCCTGAAAGAACCCAGGTTAGGCTCTGCAGTCCAACAGTAGTCCCTTCTGTAAAGAACAGAGCCTACACTCTTCCAGCTCCCTTCCAGGGGGGCTCAAAGACAAACTACCGCAGGGTTTCCAAGCCTCGTTCGCAGGGGTGCCCCACATTCAGTCAGGACCTCTTTGCCAAGCAGCTCCCGCCAGAGCCAAATTGCAGGATTGCTCCACTGCAACAAAATGAATTCACCAAAAACGTGCTACGCTCCGAGAACACCACCGGTTAAGCTATGTTTCCTCCGGGGAGCCGTCATGTGTTGTCATTTCTGCCCCTTCCTGATCACAGGGAAGATGCTGTAATGTCACATTGTCACAACTGTCAGCCGTGTCCATCATTCCACTGTCTTCACCTTGTCCTTCCTGGTCATCCAGCGTTAGATCGAACTTGAATTTACTCGCTACAGGCCGCCCTTCCACCTCCCCGTGAGGTCCTCCTTCTCCATCACTGGTGTAGAAAGGAGGTGAGGGGCTCTGGGGGATCATGCTTTGGTACCAGTTCCTGTTGTCCTCTAGTGTATCCAGGATGTCCTGGGCATCGGGATGGACCAGGTCAGCCCACGTCTCCCACAGAGGGTGCACTATGTAATCAATGAAGCTAACCTAGAAAAGATAAACAGAGAGGATGTCAGTAAATATGAAAAATAACCACAGTTTTCAGGTTTTATTTTGAGAGCTGGATGCCTGTGTTCTCTACCTGAGTCCTCTCTACTGAAGCTGTGTGTTTGTCACACATTGGGCTGATTTCCATCCCCCTCTCCCTCTCTCTGTCTCCCTGGTGGAAGAACTCATCCATGATCCTGTCAGTCCACTGCCGGTACAGATCCAGAGGTTTGGTGGGGTTGCTCAGGTCTGCACAATGAACCATGTTACGGAGAACCTGCAGGAAAAAAAATATCACCGTTTAGTATGTTTTTTTTCTTTTCCTCCCTCTGTGGTAAATAGAAAAGTGTTTGCGTCTAATGTGCATACTAGTCTGCCTCTTACCTGCATCCTGTCTGTGTAGTTGTCTAGCATCAGGACACCAGAGCTGGTGACCTTCTTGGTTTCCACCATCGTTTTCAAATCCGCCAGCAGACTCATGTGTTTAGACATGTCGGTTGCCAAAACCTGGAAGACAGCAAGACATGAAAAAATCAATTTAAGAAAAACTGTGAAAACTGCTCAGATCCTGAGACGGGGCTGCTGCCTGAGACAGATGTGCAGACATTTCCTCACCATTTCTATGACCATCCTCCGGAGCGTCTGCCTCTGCTTCTTGGAGAGGTTTTGGAAGATGTCGCAATTTTCTTCCTGCAGCAGTTTGAAGCCCACGGCCAGGTGGTGATTTTCCAGCACTGACTCATCGTTGTACATCAGGGCCAGCTCAGAGTCTAAATGCAAAAGAGGACAAGAAAAGGAAATTAAACATCAAATCAAGCAAATGTTTCTCCCTTTTTTCAAAATGTAGACCAAATAAATAACTCTAGCTGACTTTTTTGATGGATGTTGGATGAAAAGGTGGACCTACTTGTATTGATTAGGAACTGGTTGGAGACTCCTGGGTGGTCCACGTCGTGAATGGCTGCTGCAAAAATGGCTGCCAAGATCTCCAGATCAGTGAAGACCGCCTGTGTTTGAAGAGAAGGAAGTAAAGTAAAAATAAATTAGCAAATTGCTTACCATACAAGGCAAGGTATTAGTTTGAAAAACCAATCCTTCCATGTGTCACCATCTGTGGTATGCTCTTTCTATTGTTGCTATTCATCACAACAATATAAACAGTTCAAGTGAAAGGTGTGGCCGGTGGCGACACGCTTTAACTGTGCCACGTTTTAAAGGGCAAACTCTGAACACTTAGAAGTACTGAAAGCGAGTGAGGTAAGACAGATTTTACACGACTTACATCTAATGCAGGGGTGGACAGGAGGATGTGTGTGGACTGGGCTACGTCGGCAGCGTGGAGGTTGTTGTGGTACGCCACGTCGGAGTGATAGTGGCTCTCTAGGGTCAGCATGAACGTCACAAAGGTGTCCGTTGGAATCTTGAACGTCCTCATCAGGTCTCGCTCCTGCGTGTGACAGTGTGGATTAGAAAAACAAGACTCCTGGCTAAACGTGCTACAGGATATTATTTTCTCTACGGTCTATCCATCTAGCCACAGTTCAATTCTGAGTCATCAGATGGGTAGTCATAAACTAGGCAGGGCTCCAGACTAACAGGTGCACTGACAGTATCTGCTGCAGCAGTAATACATTTTAAGTTATCTTTTGGCCTCGAAAGAAAGGGGTGCAGCATTTTTCTAGACCAAGTGAAAAAAACAAAAACAAAACATGTGCAGCCAAACTGATTACAGTCTGGAGCTAGCTAACAGAGCATGATGTACACACTGACACGGCTTGTGTGTGTGTTTGTTTGAATGGCTTCACAGTTTTCATGAGCTCTTTCCCGATTAAAGGATGGAAGCTGAGGCGGAAAACAAACCTGGAAGATGGTGTACATGACGCATGTGAGAGGTCGATTGTGAGAATGCTCAGCCACTTTGAAAATATTCAGGCCCCATCTGTTGATGTGTTCCAGGTCCTGTTAGAGAGGACACAAATTTAAGTGTTTGAGCACGTGAGACACCAGATATCACGCAAGTTTAAGTTTCTCCAGTCTGTCTGTCACTTACCTTTGACAACAATTCCTCCTGGTCCGTCTTGACCCCAAAACGATTTCCAGTACCTCCCGAGATACTTGATGTATGGCTGACTTTTCTCACCCCACTGATCTGTGTCATCATCCCACCGTGTTGCTGCTGCTGTTGCTGCTGCTGCTGGCCCTGCCTCCTCTTTCTTTCCCTCGGCTTTGGAACTGGACACGGAAGCTCCAACTCATTCTGCTTGTCTGGAGAAAATAGAATTAACATTAAAAAAGGTGGTTTTCAAGACAAAAAAGCTGCAATGGCTGCTATTAAATTAGCAATCAATCCCTCAATGCCTGTCTTCTGCAATAAAAATACACTAGTAACAAAAGCAGGAAAGGCAAAAAAAATAAATGTGTAAAATAGCTGAATACACTGATGAGATGCAAATGTTTTATGAGACAAAGGCTCAGGCTGTGCTAATGAGTTGTTATGATGATCAGAGAAACATGGCAGTATTCCAGGCATTCTGTGAATCTGAGCCATGTGTTGGTAACAACTCAGAGAATCATGGAAAGATGGTTCACGTTAAGCCGAAATGTTTAGGGGAGGGACTTGGAAGTATGCGGGTTCAGTCGGTGCATGTGACTCATGTATTAGCTGAGTGACATTTCTCACTGTGTGTGAGCGTGAGACTCCCTCAGTCTGTACGTGTGCACTGCACACACAGCCGCAGAGCGAGAAAAAACCCCATCTCAGCTGCGTCCTCCACAAAGCACAGGAAAATCATCTCCCTACACCTGACAGGTGCTAGCTGCAATGCAGATAAAACCGCAAAGCTTCAAAGATAAACTGAGCTGAGCTTTCATGTTCGTCTCTATCACCGCGCCACTTCTATTGTTAGCACAAGAGGTAGCTTTTTCTTTTCCTCTTTCCACCATGCATCCAGCATCTTGTCTTTTTTCTGTCATTTTTTTATGTTTTGCTGCTCCGAGGCAGGAAAATAGACACGTGTTCACTAACAAGAGCCACAACATTAGTCTGCAGTGAGCCCTTATAAGCTGGGAGTCTGGCTGTATGTATGCTGGTGGTGAGCTAGATGGGAGGGTAGAAAAACCTGAGGGGCAGAGTGGTTTGCAGGGCTGGCGAGCTGGCTGGCCATTAGACACGAAATGCCGCCAGGCTTTTTTTTTTTTTAAAGACAAGCAACCACTGCTGTCCCACTGATGAATAATGCAGCATCTCTCTGAACCTGATGGCACTGTAAGCACACAAACACCCTCTCTCTCTCCGACTCACTGCTCCTAATCTCTCCAGAGGGAAGTCTTCCCTGAGTACAAAGCCCTCCCTCCTCCCTTCACATATCTCTGCAGTCGGAGCGAGGGGACCCTGTCTCCCTTCCAGACCAGATCAGACTGGTGTAAGAACAGCGTTGCAGAGGAACTGTGAGTTTCCCCACTGCTTGGCACATGCTTTGGGTAACCTCGCAACCTCTGTGACATTCCTGAAGGATGCTGGCTCACTGAAGTCATACATACAGCACATTTTGCAATGGCGCAATGTATACTTCAGGAGGTGTGTGGTAAACATGTGCTGCAGTGCTCACCTAGGAAGGTGCTGGAGATGTACTCTGACACTTGGTTGCCTGATCGGCTCATCTCAGACAGGTGGCTTAGCTCCCGGTTCAGCATCCTCTTGAACTGGAAGCAAAGAGATAAAATGTTAAGGAGGTAATGTGATTTATACGCAGAAACACATCCAGCAAATGAGTCTGACTGCTGTTTCTAAGCAGCGGAATAAACCCTTTCCTGTTATTTTCCACTGGAACATGTCCCATGGGACCATGTTCTCTGGATTTAATGAGCCATATTAGGTTTGTGTATTCTTCCCCAGTCTCCTTATCCAGACTGCTTCGTGTTTCAACACAAATATAAACTATGCGTGCTGTGCGTAGTTTATATTTCCTTTATGCAAATTTTACAGATAAGCAAAAGATGCCTGTTTTCTCAACACATGCAACCACTGAGCAAGATTAAAAACATGTCGTAATGCATTCAAAGAGAAATTGGGCTCTTCACCAGCAACAGAAAACAGACATGAATGTAGAATATGCACAGAAACAGTCCGATTAATGGAAAACCTCCTCTGGGACACACCTTAATGTATCCCCAGGACACAGAGAACAGGTAGTTGGCCTCAGGCATGGTGCTGAGCAGTGCTGAGCCCCCCAGCAGAAGCAGTAAGTGCTCCTCTCTGAGTGGACCCCCAAGGGTTAGCTCAGCCCTACAGCCTGAAGCTCAAGGCGTCACCAAATCACCGCCTTGCAGCGGCTGACTACGGTAAAAACGCCCCAGCCGAAGTCTCTGGAGAGGGGCTGTGGCGGAGCCCTACATTCCCAGCCAAACGCGCCTCCTCCTAGCTTCCTCCATTGTTATCAAGGATCGCGAGCCACTGTCGTGAGTGATGGAATCCCCCTGGATGCGATCAATATTTCCTTTCCTCTGGCTGTCGCTGCCTCTGTCCCTTTCTTCAAACCTCCATCTCCTTCTGCCACCATCCAAAAATCATACAGGAGAAAATCCAGCCTTTCCAAGCCCAGATTTGGCAAGTCAAGAAAAAAAGGCAGTCTTCACGGCAGAAGGAGGAAAGAAAGAGAGGGACTGAAAAAGGCAGAGAGGAGGAGGAGGAGATGGGGGTGCGTTATAGCTGTAGAGTTCCCTGTGGCACAAATTGCTGGAGCCTCTCTCTCACTTTCTCTGTCTCTCTCTTTGCCTCCCACCCTCGCTAAAAACTGATGCTCATGTACAGCACTGCAGAAAATGAGAGCTTGGAGGATCCCCCACATCTTCCTCCCTATTTCTAGCTATTTCTCTCTCACTCCTGTGTTCTGTGAAACCCCCCTCCCACTGCTGTCTCCCTTCTCTACTTAAAATGCTCCCCCTGCACAGTAATGCAGAACAGATGCAAAGCATACTGCGCAACGTGAGACTTCAAAGCACCAGAGCGTTTATCACACGGATGATGAGACACAGACACAAACTCAGACACAGAACTAAACATATTTTAAAAACAGAAAATGGGGATCCATAATCGTGATGTTTTGCTGTATCAAGCAGACGACAGAGTTTTCAGTCTGCCATCGGTGTACCACCATCTGCATGGCAACCCGAATGCCATGGCAACAGAATCACATGGTCCTGTTCTCATGGTGGTCCCTACTTTAAAAACACAGCACTGCATCGTAAACATAAACAAACCTATCACAAAAACCGCAGCAGCGACGCTCCAGATAGGCATTTTTAAAAAACCCATAGCTTCTGTGCAAAAGGAGATCGATTTTCATCTCTCATGCAAAATGTTCTTTTCGATTTGAATAAGCATATGCAAACATCACACGCCAAACTTGATTATGAAAACTATGTAGTAATGGTGTGTGCAATAAAGGCCATTTCGATAGAAAGTAATTGGGTTTTCCTTTTTTTATAACTCTGTATTCTAACACCGGAAAGAAAATAGAAAACCTGTCATTGTGGTTTCTGCCAGATCTTATATTCTCTCTTATAATGAGTTCTTTTTGCTTCATACTGAACCAGACTCTGATCTCAACAGCTGTCTAATAGCTGTCAACCAGACAGCTAACATCTAGTTGACTGTGGAACTTGAATACCACTTTCAAAGCATTGGCTGCACTAAAAACCCAGAAAGATCAAAGAAGCTGGAATCAGTTGGCTTTAGTCTGCTCAAAGAGAGCTTGTAATTGATTCTTTAATGCAGCACAGTGTGGATTTGAGTGACCTCTAGGAAGTGAATTACGCACACAGCTGTATGTCAGTCACCCGGGGTTGTGTAGTTCAGCTGAAACACATCACACACACACACGGCACGATGACAAGACTGCAAGTGTTCTCAGTAACCCAGATTACTCAATGCATGGCGCTAACTCATACATCCTTTTACGTTAGCAAATGATTCTCAGTTTCAGAACAAACTGAGGAAACTGAGAGAAGTTGCGCAAACTCTGACAAAAAAGCAATTTGCTCTCACACAATCATGAGCCGTTGTTTAATAAAGTTTAAATATTTAATGCATAATATAACTGTGTCAAAAAAAACCCAAAAAGCTACTGAAACAACATGCTACAAAAAGTAAAGACCAACATATTTTCAAATATGCAATCATAGAAGGAAAAAAACAATTCAGGAACATTTTGAGTGTAATTACTGACGAGCAAATTTATTTTTTTTATTTGAAACTAGATGTCACTTCAAATCCAGCAATTTATTCTTGAATAAAACACCATCTCCACATGGCACGCTACACTCCTACAACACAAAGTAAGCCTCTATAAAGCTAACTCACCTTTTTCCAACTCGCAAGCATCTCAAAGTTTATCTTCTGCTTTTCAGAGCAGCATAGTCCCATTGTCACTCAACGAAAAAACAAACACAGCACAAAGAAATCCTGTAAAGGTCCAAGTACTTTAACTCGTCTCAGCGTGTCTGTGAGCCAGCCGTCTTCCTCTCTCTATTCTCTTTTCTCAACTGGCGTCAGGCAGGAAACTTATAGCAATAAAGCTGACTTAACTGACTGGCCTACAAAGTCTAACAGGAGATTGATGGCTCCTCCCTCCCATACAGGCCTGAGCGTGTGTCTCCACCTACTTCCCTTTTTTTTTTGCTATAGTAATTCCCTGAGATCATTTACTGGCAGACATCCTTCTTCCTGTAGCCTCAGGCACCAAACTACTAACATACCTGAGCTCATCACAGAAAAGTCCCAGATAACAAGTTTAGGGGTCACGCTAAAGTTCCTGCTAGTAACTGACAAGAGAAATAAAGAAAAAGGAAAAACATAAAACGTAAAGAAATGGGATTTCTCAGGAACAATGTGACCTCATAATGCAACACCATTGCACTGCAATCAAACAAACCCCAGAGTGAGCACACGCCGCCTCTGTCGCATGCATGCGGCTGTTTCGAGTGTCAACACCAAATGAATGATGTCAAATTTACACTGTTTAGTAACACAAGGACAACACATTTCCTCGAAGGCGTTGATCAGAAACAGGTAAGAACAGGGTTACAGTAGAAACATGTTTTCCATTCGCACTCCTTGTGCTGTCTTATTTTCCAAGATGAAGATCAGATGAAGAACAGAAGATTACAGAGGTAAAACTTTTTTTTAAAAAAATTACGATTAAGCACCATAATCACCGCTGGAGCTCGTGTGATCTCCTCACCACCCTTTCAGTCAAATGGAAGCTCAGCACTATAATTTAATGTCCATTACGCCTGGTACAGCTACAGACCCACCGCTGCATCTGTTTCAATAATTTTGTCATTCTTTCCCCAGTGAAGACGGCGGGTGCTTCAAAGCTGAAGTGACCACACATGAGTTAAAGTTTCCTACTCGCTTGTGTTCTCCTCGAGGGGCTTGCCTGCACGCTACCCGCAAAAGCGCTAAACTCCTTTAACTGCATTCAGATGGCAGTGTTTGTCCAAGGCCGTCACCAGCATCGGTGTGGAAGTGTGGCGAGGTTAATGATAGTGAGGGGCAGGGAAGTAGCTCCCCGCTCTGAGGTCACAGCAACCAGGCTGGCGGTCAGCAGAGTGTGTGGTCTTGTAGCCCCGGATACACCTGTGCCCTTGGAAACTGAAAACGGAGACACCCCGGGTTTGATTGTGGCTTCAATTACATCTAGTGGTGAAGAAAAAAAGAAAACCTGACTCTTTGTCAAAACTTGCGTCAAACGCCCACAAAAACTGGGCCGATGGTGTAACAGTATCACTGGACTTGACTCCCAATTTTGCAATAAGAGCTCGATGGACCAATAAACAGCTTCTTTCTATCCCTGTACAATTGCACAACAATGTAGCACACTGTTGAAACTTAACTGTAACATCATAAAGCTGTTGCCCACTACACTTTTAAAAGATCAGCATTGGTCAACATTGGCACTGGCTCGTGTTGTTAGGAATCTGTACCTGGTTTGCCTGAACAAGTTGCTACGCTGCTACGGCCTAGAGGGCTTTTTCTCATTGTCTCGACAGTCCCGGGGATGTAGCTGTCTGTTAGGACTCAACCCCTATTGTCATCGAGTAACAAGTGAGCAGAGGAGAGGAGGCACAGGAAATACAGAGACAGGAAGCTGGTGTCACGGTCAGAGTCACCCATCATGGTCTCACAACACCCCCTCCCCATCCCAATCCTCCCTCAGACCAAGGCTTAGAGCACAGACGGAAATGGACACCACCACCCTGGGTGTTTATAATCTGATGTCGCCGTACAGTCTCCGCTGTCTGAGCAGTAATGTGCCGCATACAGTAAATTTTGAAGTGAAATACGCACAAAGAAAAAAACAGGCTCATGTGCATCAAAGCAAAGGGAAGTAATTAGTTCAAAAATGCTGGTTTAAAAACCACAGTGTGTTTAAATTCAGTAAAACCAAACTGGAAGACTGGCACTTTTAAATGCTTAAAACAACACGCTGCTAAGACCACCGATGAGAACAGACATTTTCTCACCCTTTGGTTACATTTTTTGAGTTATATTAACTATAAACTGAGTTTTACCATTTAATAACTTTCCAGGCAGCGTGAGACACAAGTACAGCTTTTAAACACGCTAAACTAAATGGTTTGGCCCCTTGTAAAGAAGATGCAGTTATAAAATTATCCTGGCATTATTCTATAATAATGGAACATATAGCAGATCTGGTTTTGCCTCTTCCGCAGCAAGCAGAAGAATAAGTTCAGTACTTTCAAACCAGCCTTAAGCAATAAGGGCCCTGCTAAATGAACTCACACAGAGCTATATCTTAGAAACGAGCCAATATCAACACAGCACTAAAATGAATGAAAAAAGCATTTGGTAATGTTTTAATCAGCCCAACCTAGTAGTATAGCAAGCTGTGTGTCTCGGGCAGTTTGATTAAGGTAAGGATATACAAGCAGGACAGCCCTTTCCCTGGAATTCAGGCAATAATGGTGCTCAGATGCAACAGGTAGTTTGCTAAAGTTGTTATGCAGCGAAGCAAACATTAACTTTTTTTTCTCCTTTTTTATCAAGAGATCTATAAAATGATGATGCGTGCTGATATGCTACCACAGAACAGCTGTTGCTTTGCAAATGCGTCAATGTGGCTAAAAGTATTTTACATTTTCCGTAGACTGTGCAAATGCACAACCACACAGAAACAAAGAGCAATTATACACAGATATATGCAGACTGGCAGGTCATCACAGGCCAGTCAAGCCATCATCACAAGTATCATGCCTTCAGTGAGCACGTTACAGAATATGTACCGTGATGGTAATAATTATAATTTTGCATTGCATAGTATGAGATATAGGTTACAATTATAATGTTTAACTTAAATCTTTTTTAATTATGGTTTTGCACACTCTAATGATTGTTATTTCAGTGGGTAAAAAGAGATGTTGGCAAAATGAAGCATGCATGCAAGAGTTTGCTGTGCAATATGATTCTAGATGAAAGCACAGCACAATGTGCATGATAGCTTTTCTCACTAATGAACTAATGGTTCTTTTGCGACTTGATAAAATCATCTTAATAACCTACTGTGCCCATGATCAAATACCCAAATAGATTTTTACCCCTGAAGTTAATTATCAAAAATGTGAATGTTTGTAGTGTTTTCAGGTATTTCATCCAGGAGGAGAGGCTAATAGCTTTTTATAAAACCACGGTAATCGATAAATACATGTAGACAGTCCCAGGTAACTTCACACATGCGTTGTTGTCACATTTACATATATTAACATATGGCCCAGATTGTCTTACCTTGTTGGAGGCCATGTCACTGACAGACCGGTAGGTCTGGATGGTCTCCAACTGGTCCAGACACCAGTCCAGCTCCTCCATGGTTTCCATAGCCAGTTTCTGGTAGGACTCATCTGCCAAGAGACACATGGACATGTAATCAGGTCTGAGAGGATCCATGTCCATACTTGATCCTCCAGACACCATGCGTGGCGGTCCAAGTGTCCCAGAGTGGCTTGATCGTAAGGGGCACTGACATGCAGAACCTCCGGAAGACGCAGAGGAAGATGAGGAGGTGTGTACGCAGAGCTCCTTCATCTTGTTCCGCTCCACCACCTCCGAAAGTTCAGGGGAGTTGTTTTCTCAAACAAACAGTGGTTATGGTCACCGTTTGCCGACTCGCTCTGTCTTTCTGTCTCTCTGTAGCCTTATTCTCTGCGTACCCCCTCTTTCCCTCCCTCTTGTGCGTGTTGCAAACCCCCTCCCATTTCGTCTGGTTCCCCCACCCTTGCTCAACTTCTCCCTCTCTCTCATTAAATTATCCCCCTCTCAGTTCCACTCGTTTGAAGAAGTAGCTTGCAGACTAGGCAGTTTGCTGCCTCCTGCTGTTGGTGTGTCTGTG